TAGTAGTAGGAGAAGGAGTAGGAGTATGAGTAGGAGTAGGAGTAGTTGCAGAAGCAAAAGCAGCAAATAGCAACATCGGCAAGTAGCAACAGCAGCAGCACTTAGAGTATCGCAGCAAACGGATGTTTGTGGTATATCCAAGATGACGGGATCCCTAAACTCTAAACCCTAAACATTGAGAACTTTACGATTCCGGTGTTGGACTTGGGGTTTTGGAGCTTTACAGGGTTCTGGTGTTCCCAGGCCCGGTCAGCAGTTTGAGGCCTGTTTATAGGGGTTTAGGGTTCAGGATTTAGGGATTTAGTGTATAGGGTTTAGGGTTTAGGGGTTTGGGGTTCAGGGTTGAGGGTTTGAGTAAGGGATTCAGGGTTTGGAGTTTTAGTTTAGGGTAACTGTTTCGGGAAGCAGTTCCTGATACCCATGGCTTCTGTGCCCGATGTTTCTACTTATCGCTGATGGTAGGTTCGCAGGACTTCGTGGGCTGTTGCCCTGTCAGTAACTTCTTGATGCATCTGTAGAAAGGCCTTTTCCCTGAGCTTTCACCATAGCTTAGGCAGACAAAGATCACAGAAAAACCTCGCAGCTGCAAGTTGTGCAGCTGGCACAAACATCGCGCCGAAAAAATTGTGGCTGGGTTTGTCCGAGCTTCTTTAGCGTGGGGAAAGTTGAGCCTCAAGTGCCTTGCAAACCGTGTGACCGCCCGGACCCCGCTTGAACTCTAAACCCTGTCAGCAAGAAGTAGCTGCTAGCCTTCACTAGTTTCTTTCTAAGGGAATTCCGAATGATCGACGGTGCTGTCCCGGAACCTCATCCACACCCCAACTGCACCCCAGACCCCGAAGCCCTCAACCCAGAAAAGCTAACCCCCGTCAGCCCTAAAACCGCAATAAGGCTGTAAGCCAGGGAAGCCCCAGACCCCTTCACCTTAAACTTGAAAGCTCTAAAGCCCAAAACCTTACAACCCTTCACTCTATATCACAGAGGCTTTGAGCCGCTTACACCCCGAACTCTACATGGATGGTCTGAATGGTCATCACTATTCTTGAGGGTATCGAACATACCTGTATTTTGAAACCACAGTCTGCTTGTTTTTTGGAGGCTTCTATGTTAAGCCCGAATCTTATTAAACCCTGCAGCCCAAAAACGCACAAGCCCACAAAACGTTCCAAATGGCATCAGAAAATCTTGCGCAACCTTCTAGAAACTGTCAAATTTCTGATTAGGCCCTCCAAAACCTTCTAGACCCTGTCTAGAACGCCATAAACCCTAAACCCTCTGACCTGAAGCGGTATGGAAAAGAGGTCCCCCCCAAAAAAAAATCCCTTCAACCTTAAACCCCCTAAACCCTAAACCCTAAACCCTAAATCCCTAGATCCTAAGTCCCTATATCCCTAAACCTTAAACCCTAAGCCCTTAAACCCTAAATCCTAAACCCTAAACCCTAAACGCTAAATCCCTAAACCCTAAACCCTAAATCCTTAAATCTTAAACCTGCAGCTTGGGCTTCCAGTTTTGTATCTCCTCGTGACTCCCTGTTGCTTTCACGATGCGACGCACCGCGCTCTGCCTGAGCTCTCTGGCCCTGGCCAGCGGAAAGGCCCGGATTCGTCGGGCCGAAGGAGGGAAGACGGCTTGGGGGTGGGGTTTAGGGTTTGAGGGAGGCCCCCCAATGCCTGAATCCCAAAACCTTGTGGGTTTAGGGAGGGTTGTGGGATTGGGGGCGCTATAGCCCTACTGAAGCCATAGCCCCGCTCTCTATCTAATCTATGTGCATATATCTATATCTATACCTATATATATATATATATAATATATATATATATATATATATATGTATGTATGTATACGTATGCTATAGGATTAGGCAGGGTTGAGGATTTAAGCGTCTCAGGCGGGCTGATAGTTGTGGCTTTGGAGGACTTAAAAGCTCTCACCCCTAAGCCTTATGGGGTTAGGGTGTTAGAGTTTAGGGCTTAGGGCTTAGGGTTTAGGGTTTAGGGGTTGTTGATATGGCTGGGTTCAGGCTTGAGACAGCCCGTACAGGGCAAGAAGGCCAGTACCTTTCACCCCGAAACCCTCAGGACATCATCGTAAGGGAACTCAAGACTCGCAGGCTTGTGTTTATCTTAGCCTCTACAGGTAAAGGGTTTCTGGGCCATCCCTACCCTTGCATCTTGGAAATCCCGTCACAGCGTCTGCCCTTCATGCGATCTCCACACTACCGACTTCTCCTACGGATAGAACCCTAAACCCTAAACCCTAAACCCTAAACCCTAAACCCTAAACCCTAAACCCCTAACCCCAAGCCCTCAACTTAAACCAGACCGCGAGGTCTACTTCTCCGAGACTTTCGGCGACGGTTGGGAGTGCCTGACATGCACTGGCTGAACATAATATAGGGCCTTGATAATTAGAAAAGGTTTTGGGGGTTCCTTATCAATCATTATAAATATTAATATACCCCAAAAACCTATTGTTAAAAACACGGCCCCTATACTAGGCGCCTGCGAAATTGCTGATGCATTTCCTTGGGCGCACCCCTATTATCATAGAGGTTTAGGGTTTAGGAGTTTAAGTAGGCCACTATGTATGTTATAACTTGGCATAGATTGAGCCCCAAAGCCTCATGAAGAGGTATGACGAATTGATAGTAGCAACCCCTTATTGTCCACATACAACGGCGGGGTGCTTCGATCTGGATTAGGTCCATCCGTCGATCCATTCCCAGGGCTCGATTGCTGACTTTACGGCCTACCTGGACCCCAAAGTATGCCGAATGTTTGATTTGTTACAGGTGTTGGGCGACTATGTTGCCTACTATTGGGGGCTTCGGGCAAGGTTTAAGCTGACGGGTTTCTTAAAGCTAGGGGCGCTCTTCGAATTGTTGATGCTCAGCGCCCGGTCGTTTGCGAAGCTCCGTATTGGCAGGTTGTTTGGGTACCCTACCTGCAGTCTCCATGGTAGTTCTTGTTTTGGGGTTACCTTATAGCATCCTTTATGTAAAGTTGGCGAAACCGAAACATGAATTACAAAGGATGCTATACATAAACCCTGAACTTTGGTTGGGAGGTGGAGGTTCATCGAAACAGCCATAAGCCCTACACCCCAAAACTAGAAGCCCCCGACAACCCTGAATGCTAGAGATACCCTAAACCATTACCCTCGGCCCTAACGGTGGTTCCTGTGAGAACTGAGCTTAAGACCTTTGAACGCATGTACCTGAAATCATAATTGGATCATAATATGTAAAAGGTTTTTATAGTTTAAGGTACAGTAGAAGCCAGGAAGTTGGATCATCATTATCCTCATGCCCTTAAAGCAAAGTATAAGGGATCCTAGCACTAATCCTCTTAAACCCATGTTCCAACTTTCTGGCTTCTATTGTATGTTCCTGAACTCCACTAAATAGCCCTGCCAACCCTGCAAAGCCCCCTATCACTTTCTAGAGACCCTAAATTCCCCAATTCCCTCAACTCTGTAAATTCCTTAAATCCTAAACCCTAACCCCTATCTGGACCCCAAAGAACCTACTTTTTTAAGGACCTATGTATGGAAATCATAACAAGCAACCCTGAAAAGGGAGGTTCTTGAGGGTCCAGGTATAAAGGCCTAAAGGCCCAAAACTCCTCACTTAACCCTAAACCCTAAACCCTAAACCCTAAACCCTAAACCCTTAGGCCGCCCCTGCGCGCACCACCACACAAACCCCCCCGAAAACCAGCCAGAAAGCAACTGTGTAGGGCTCTTAGGGTTCAGGGTTTTTGAGTTTAGGGCTTGGGGTTTCTAGGGCTTCGGGTTTAGGGTGCGGGGCTTTTCTAGGGATCTCCTAACGGTTCTTTGAGCGGGTCCTGTGAGGGTTCTACAAGGGTAATTTGGGCTAATAAGGCTTCAGGGACTGCGGGACATAGGGCTGGACTCAGGGTTTAGGGACCTAAGTGTAGGGTCGAACGAAGCCCTACAACCTAAACCCTAAAGCCTGAATCCGGAACCTAAGGCCCTAAAGCCTGAATGCCGAGCCCAAAGCCCTGTCTGCTAAGCCGTAAATGGGTTTTAGGGTTTAGAGTTTATGGGTTTAGGGTTTAGGGTGCAGGGTTTAGGGTTTAGGGTTTAGGGTTTAGGGTTTAGGCCCTAAGATGCCAAGGAGCCGATGGACGCCCAGCGAGTGGAAGAAGAGCGACGGCACTCAGGGCACCTGGAAACTCTCCGCAGGAAAGTGGCTCCTAGGCTCTTTCAAAAGAGGCATTTAAGGGTTTGGGATGTAGGGGCTAGGGTTTAGGGTCTAGGGATGGGATTTTCAAGGTGTGGGTTTAAGGCGGTGTCCAGTCCGAGTCTAGAGGGCTGAGGAATTTACGGCTTTGGGTTCTCAGTTAAGGCTTACAATTTGGGGCGGGTGGGTGAGTGGTGGTTGAGGGGGAGGGGCTGGTACATACTATACGGATCGAACTACTTACTATTACCATCCCTCATTGCTCCTTATTCAAATTAGATCACAATATACACCCAAACCCAGACCCTATCTGATGATTAAAGGCCCTGTATTATGGGAGTCGGATTGAGATGCGGACCGAAGCAGCTTGACCAGGGTGGTAGTATGTACTGATGCTCCTTTTTAGTTTGTATCCCATAGCTTTCCAAGTTATGTAGGTGTTCATTTTCTTTCCAGCTTCTTGGCGTCATGAAACATATGGCTTCGGAGAAGGATTTTCGAGAGTTCTGCGAGACCTTCAACCGCAAAGGCTTTATCCTAAACTCTGCAACCTAAGCCCAACAAAGCCGCGAAGTTCCTGACATGTGTACGTAAGCCTTTGGAGGTGTATCGAGCGATGCTATAACACTTTCTTCATCAGAAAGTATGTTTGTACACTGCGTTGCAAGATGCTATGAATATCTCGATACTCCGAGAAGTGAGCTTAGATATACCCAAACAGAACAAGCAAATCTTACACATGAATAGATTAGAAAGGGGTCCTTCGGACCTTATTGGGTTTCAAGGTTCAGCGGTTCAGCTTCCTCAAGCTTTCCCCTGAGGTTCGCCAATGAGGCGGAGGACAAGGGCGTGCAGACCGCGGAGGACTCCCGGTTCTTCGGCCTCTCCGCCGGCTTCGACTCCTTCAGCAACGCCGGCAAGGAGCTGATCATCCAGTACCAGGCGAAGTACGAGAAGGACATCGAGTGCGGTGGCGGCTACGTCAAGGTCGGGCCAAAGCTCAGCGATCCCAAGACCTTCGGCGACCCCACGCCGTACAACATCATGTTCGGCCCGGACAAGTGCGGCTACACCAAGCGCACGCACCTGATTTTCAGCTACAAGGGCAAGAACGTGCTGAAGAAGTCGGACCTGGCTTACAAGCAGGAGGGCGAGGGCACGTCGCACGTGCAGCT